AAGTGTTAATTTTTCGATTCAGAACCGGAGTAATTTTATGGAGTGAATGTGCCGAAAAACGAACTTCTAAAAATATATTTGCATCTGATTACAACATACTGTCAGCAATAACAACATAACAAGAGAATAAAAAACATACTAACATAACAAAAAAAATATGAAGTCGAATAACAAGATTAGAGTCACACCAAGATGTACGTCCATGAAGATTACGTGAATCCCTGAAAATATACGAAACTCTGAACCAATTGTAGTTATAACATAAGGAATTTTCAAATAACCTGAATGGGTCCCCCGTTTGCTTCAACTACAGCCACTAGCCGTCTACGCCAGCTCTGTATTGACCGTGCTATTTCTAACTGAGGCATTTCATTTTCCCAGCAATAAGTGATTCTTTGCCTCAAGTCTTCCAAATTCTCGAAGATTCTGACTGCAGCTGACTGGAAGTGAAATAGCTCCTTGCCCGAAACAGAAAACCAAGTTTTTGTGATTATATTGTTCACCAAAAATATGCAATTTCGGTAAGAAAATGAGACCAATTGTATCTGCAATTGGGTCTCCTTCTTAAAATATTTCGAGTTGGTTGGTTGAAGTTTTCAAAACTTTCAATAATCCTTACAACAATCGTTCTGCGTCGAATTCATCAAAAAGGTCGAAGGTTTGAATCTGACCGACGGAACATCATTTGATGTTTCATCATTTTTTCCGAAAGTACCAATATCAACAACTTTGGAATATTCAAGGAAATTACTCGAATATAACAACCTTGATCCGGATAATATCGAAGGATTGGTCAATCTCACAAACCTCTGCATGAGCCAAAATATTTTCCGATACAGACAAGAATTTTTAGAGCAACATGAAGGTACAACCATGGGTAATTGTTTATCACCTTTTTTGGCTGCACTGTTTATGGATTGGTTTGAAACAAATGCACAAAAATAATTCGAGTATTTCCCTAAGGTTTAGATCAGATATGTCGACGATATCTTTTTCATTCTTGATACGAAAATCACAGATATAGATAACTTCATTTCACAATAGAATGATTGCTGTTCCTTCATCAAATTCACTTCTGAATGCGAAAATAACGGTCAGTTACAATTCTTAGAATTTAGAATTTCATGTTTTTAGAGAAGAAACTCACACCCGCAGATACATAACTAATTACTCCAATCACTGTTTTCAACATAAAATGGCGGGTTCAAATTTCCTAGTACATAGACTTGTTTCATTTTCTCTGAGCAAACAAAAATTCGATGTTGAAAGGAATGTTGTTTATAAAGTGGCTGGTGTCAACGGTTATGATACCAAAATAGGAGATAAAAAATTCAACGACTTTCCAAGAGGATTGAAGCAACTCGAGAAGAATCTTGATCCCTTTCAATCCTAAGTACACAAAAGGACTTGATGAGGTTTTTGAAGACCTAGGTTTTGAAAGGGTTCATCAGTCTGGGTCAAAGTTAGGCAATTTATTAGGTGATTCAAAAGATAAGGTAGACACACCTGAAGAGTCAGGAATGAACGAAATTAGTTATTATGACTGTGATAAAACATATTTAGACCAATACAGGCGTTCCATGAAAACAAGTTTCAACGAACACTTAGCACATTTGAAATATGGTAGGTTAGATGATTCCTGTGTAGCCGAACACATGTTCGATCACAATCATAACACACATTTCAATAACCTCAAATCAGTTGAGTTAAGGTAATAATGCTAGGAAAGTAGATGCCTATGAACGCTTAGAGATATTTAAGAATAGTTATAGAGTGATGAATAAGGATAATGAACCTATCCCATCTAGCCCTCTGTATAGTAAAGTATAGTTCAGTGATGTGAGACCAACTTCAACATGTGAACTTAACCATGAATAACATAAACCTGGTGGTTATTGTCTATTCACGGTTGGGTGGACATATACCTAGTTCAAAACGAGCCCACTAGGATAGAGCATTCAGTTCCAATCTTCTCCTGAAGATGCTAACATAGTTAGCGAAACACTTGTCAAGGTGTAAAAAATCGGTTTGATTAGTGGTAAAATTGTGTGAAGTGTGAGATGTAGATGTAGAAACCAGCCGGTAAGCAGTCGCTCTGAGAATTTTCATCATGGAAGAAGAGACAGGTTAAGAAGACATCATTGTTTCATTCATAAATTGTCTACTAAAAATCTGGTATGTGTCTGTTTGATATAATATGATCAGAGTTTCACATCAAAACATATACTAATACTTGAACTTACAAATCCATTGCACCCTTTAAACCCCTACTTCCACCCCTCCCCTTCTTCGATAGTATGTAACCAATATGGATAATTTGCCATTACAGTCTCATCATTCATGTATGTGCTTGGCTTGCTATGGGAAACTCAATGTGTCGATTATGTTGTACTGGCCTTCTGCCGGGGAACGGAATATGAGTGCTTGGTACCCAGCACTGGGACCAGCTGCTGGCCTCAGTATACTGATACACAGACTCCCGCATATGGGACCATTTACTGGTTTGCTGTCAGGTATGAGGAAAATAAAATTATTTAAGGTCATTGATGCCCCATATAAAAATGTTTGCTGAGTAGCCTTCTGGTTGAAGTTGAACAGAAGTTCAGCAATGAACATTCAATCATACCAACTTGTGAACCTTGACTTCATAGATATATATCTATGAAATCAAATGAACTGGATACTGTACGTACCTGGCTAGTCCTGTATTTGTAGCTATCTCTAACTATCACCACTATTACTGACCTCACCCAACATTTATCGTGACTTTTATCATAGTTTTTGTTATCTGTATATATCTTCTGAAAATACAACAGTTTGGATATTGCCTGAAATAACCAAAGGACTTTATATAATGAACTTGACCCTAATGGATTGAATTATTGAAGTGAATTTGTGCATATCAAAAGCATGGGAAACAATACTGTGGAATCAGTTTTCCTTCAGAATAATTTCTGATTCGATTCTATAAATATCAACCCTTTTTATTTGAATAAGAATAGGACAAAACTAGCCAAAATGATGTTTGTCTCTTGGAAAGTAAGAACGTTAATCGTTTTCCATACCAGCCCAAATTTGGTGAGTATCGCATGACTTATAGCTGAGATATAGAGAAAGGTCCGTTCAAAGTGGGATAAATTCACCTTCATTTTAAGTCTCACATCCAATTGAATGTGACGAATATTGCAAATGTTTTGGAAAATGAGGAGTCCCCTGGCAATACCAATGATGTTTTTTTGTAATTCACAATTTCACCTAGCGAGACACGAATGTCACATCGCAGGGATTTGGATGGTTACTGAATGACGCTGCTTCTGCAAGCTTATCTTTACATTTATGGTAAGCTGTTGTTGTTCCTGGTGTCCAGTGGATTGGTGCATTTCCTTCTGTTTTACCTTGCAAAAGTTCATCGAGCAGTGCTTGTGTCTCGGCTGCCTTGGATATGAATCTTCTGTAGAAATTGATCATTCCCAAAAATTAAGCAGTGTTTTAACGGTGTCTGGTACTGGGAACGCCCAGATAGCATCAAATTTTTCTGGCAGGGGACGAGTACCGTCATTGGATACGAGGTAGCCTGATAACTTCACCTCTGACTTGCCAAATGAGCATACAGCAGGATTGACGACCACACCGTAGGCTTCAAGGCAATTGAAAAGTATATTTAGGTGATTCAGGTGCTCGTCCTTCGAAGCTGATGCAATCAATGTGTCATCGATGTAGGCATGATAGAACCACAGGCCATGTAACACTTCGTCGATAAAACGCTGGAAAGTCTGGGCTGCGTTTCGTAAGTAGGAAAAAGAAATCGAATTATCCAAATGGCGTGGTGATGACTGTCTTCGGTATGTCCTGAGGCGCGACAGGAATCTGATTGTATGTACGAAATAAACAGATTGTGGAGATAATGGTTTTGCCCCAGAGCGATTGTGCAAAATCTCGTATGTGCCGAACTGGATAGCGATCTGGATTGGTTCTTGCGTTAAGGCTGCGGTATTCCCTACATGGTAGCTACTCATCCTGAGATTCGGGCACCAGATGGAGCGAGGATGTCTAACAACTTTCCGAAGGTCTCACCATTGCATCGAATTCTTTCCTAGCTACCCTGAATTTCTTTGGCGCAAGTGGTCTTGGTCTCTCTGCGACTGATTTTCCAGGTGATATTCGAATGTGATGTTGCGTTGCATGATTTGGTACTCTCTCAGTTCCGTAGTGACAAGTGATATCCGGAAATCGCTGTGAAAGTCAACTACAAAAATATATAAATAGTGACAAGTCAGAAACAAAGTGAGAGAACATTACATAACATTACAATTACATCACATTACAATTACATTATCTGTACATTACATTACAAATTCATTATTATTGATTATTCCCTGGCTGGAACGATTTGCGACCTGATCCACTAATTTTCGATGTTGGACATCGACAAGTAACTCAAAAGGTGTTAAGAAATCTACGCCGATGATAGGCTTGGATACGTCGGCAATGACGAAACTCCGAGTGAAATCATACTCTAATCCAAGATTGAGCGTCATGGATTTAGTGCCGTATGTTGCGATGATTGTCCCATTAGCAGGCGGATAGTTCATAAGTCGTCTTTTCACGACATCCTCGAACACTATTACGCGAGTACATGCGCAAACCAGCACCAGTATCGACGAGAAATTGTGCCTTGCATTCGTGGTTAGTTACAAAAAGGCGGCGTGATGTAGGACAGGGTTCGCTTGCCGCCATCAGTGATTGCCCTGGTTGCTCGCACTTTCTTGCATCTGCACCAAATCGCCGATGGTACCAGCATAGACCTTTCTGTATTGTTTCACAGCTTCGGAAGCGTGATATGAAATGGGGATGAGTTATTGAGGTACGTGTATTTATAGGCCGAGCGCTGCAATTTCCTGGCTCAAAGGCAAAGTGAGCTGCTGCTTTTTTCGTTCAACTGGGCTTCAATATTTGCCGTGGCAGCCTCAACGACGACTAGAGGTCTAGAGGGCAAGAATTTACGACATGGCATCAACAAGCTCTGCGACCTTGTTCAGTTCTGTATCTTTTTGTGTATCGATCAATGCCTGCATGTTTTGAGGCAGTCTGCCTATCCACAAAGTCTGTTGTATTCCGTCGGAAACGAACGAACCTCCAAGACTTCTGAGATGTCTGAGAAGTTGAGATGGTTTTCGGTCTCCCAACTCCTCGTGTTCAAATGAGAGGCGTGTTTTCTGGTCTTGCGTTGGACTCAGGCGTCTGATGAGTTCATGTTTTGACTCCTCGTGAGCTTCCGTCGCTGGCGGATTGTGAATTCATCACGTACCCCCATCGCATATGTAACCAAACTCAGTTTCGTTTGAAATAATGCCAGAAACCAACAAACTTCGTTTTTTCATACAAAACCATATCTCTGGGTCCGTGGGACAGAGGGGTGGGATTCTCAAGGCGACTCGGTCGATCGATTGTCCCGATGCTTGTGGCACTTGCATTCCACTAGGGTTTGGCATCGTTGAAATATGTTGAAAGTATTTGACGATAGGTAGGATCTTATAAGACGCTCGTGGGCTACCTACTTGATGATCACACTATATTTGCTTCCAGGCGGCGAGAATGACTTGTGTCTTGAAATCTCACTCGCGATCACGTCGGGGTCACCAATTTGTTGGGATCAGCCGGAGTAGTTGACAAACATGGCTTGATAAGTCTTTCAACTTTCAATCTCCAGAAAAACCTGTCAGAATTGACAACAAAACATGACATGTCAACTTATATGAAAAAACCGAATGATCGGTGTTCCTGTGTATATAGTTCATGATGACGATGGAGTCGTCGCCACAATAGTATATTGTGCAACGAGTGGAAAAAGTTCACCTTTTCTCACGAGTGCGAAAGTTTGTGGCACGAGCCTGAAAGGTTAGTGATGCAAACGCACGAGTGCGAGAAGTGCTTTTCCCCACATGTTGCACACTATACTTTTTCTACAACTGCAGTTATTCAAAGAATCCGAGTAATGTAACTTATTGGTATTCATTTCATAATGTGGCACTATGCCACATTGAATATTGTGACCGAAGAGTAGACGCCTCTCCTAGTTCCTCGTAGTATTCCAAAAAAGTTCAATTTCCGAAAAAGATTTTATTTCTGTATTTTTTTAGATTCCATAAATTTTTCGTACCAATATGCCAATTCATACTTTCTTCTTGAATTTTCCGGGAGCTTTCGCAGATTTTTCTATTATCTCTGTCTCTGGCGGTGTATTTATCAAAATCGTCACATCTCGGTATATACATCATATTATTTATCATGAATTGTTGAAACAATATTTAATGGAAAATGCGATTTCTATCAAAAGCACTGATGAGAACTACCCTGGAGAATTTGAAAAACTTCGTCTGACAGTTGTGACAACTATTCAAAGCTGAACAGCAGCCAAGTTTTGGTCGATTTTTGTTGATTCTATATGAAAATGTTTGTGGTGTTGGCAAAGTGCCGTGAGGAAAGATATTTCTCACAGTATAAGCAATACATGGTTTTGAAACTGAGGAAGCTATGAGAAATGCGCTACTTTTCATAGCAGTAGTAGAAAAAATTATATTTCCCGAAGAATTTTCTTGTACCTACTTGTATTACTCAGATGAACATATAGGTTATCTATAGTGTTTAGTCATAACAGTTCATGTACCAATTCAGACAAACGACGTATATCCTTAAGATAAATTCTGGGTGTTATACGATCCTACAAATATTAAGGGCGTCTGTATACAGATATTTGAAAAAATGTGCCGTCTGAGATATTTCATGGTTGTTCTAGAAGGGACATTATATAAGAACTGGGGTAATTTTAGAAAGTATACTACTTGAGATATCCGATGAACTCTCCTTAAGAAACGTTTGAAATTATATCTCATTAGGGACATGCTGAGGAAGTCCTTGCATAGACAGTCTACTATATGTACCACGTGGAACGTCTGAAGGATGCTATTTCTAGGACATTTGAAATGATGTACCAGCTCGGACATTTCATGGATGCCCTTGCTCGGACATTGCATGAGACGTACGGGAAGGGCCGTCCCAAGGACAATTATTTCAGGTCTGGGACATTCGGACTTGACTGTACCGAAAAAGGACGTCCCTATGAGGTTGCGTGCTATCAGGATGAGACTGAAAATGTTAGCCCTCATTGTTACGAGAACATTTTTCTTTGAAATAGCTGTGAAAAAATAATGTTGTTCCGTTCTCTTGGTGTACCAGTGGGCTACGTAGATAGTAGCGATGTAGAACTACAGGATTATAATCTGGGAAAAAGTTTCCTGAAAATGAGATATAATTTGACCCCTTTTTCCAGTGGTGAGCACACTTTGATGGCCGGCACTCATAGAAAACACCAGCCTTGACAGTAACCCAGCAATGTTTTTTCAATGTAGTCAATGACGTCATATCCAATTTTTTATTTATTTATTTATTTATTTATTTATTTATTCCAACAAACAGGTTTTACCCCAATTACATGTTGTTTGTGTATGAATGGTTGATTGAAGTAGTACTTCATTTTCTGCATCAATCACAGTAATGATACTGTTTTCCCAAAAAATACAGTACTAGTCCAAACAACCTGACTAAAATCTAACTTAAATCTAATAATATATACAAAGTATTAACCAAATAAGAATAATTATTGAATTAGTACAGTTTCACCATTTTGTGATAATTTATTTTTTATTTGATTTCCGAATGTAATCACACTATCTCGAAATATGTCACAGTACGTTTGATTTTCGTTATAGAATATAGCCATATTTACATGTGGAGATTTCAGTTGGTAATTCGTCCGAGATGTAGTCACTGCAAATGTTTTGTTATTACTTGCCCGAGTTCTTGAGTTTGGTATTTGTAACTTTACAGATGGAAGAGTAGTCCAGTCTTGCGCCATATTGTTGTATATTTTGTATAGATACATCAGGGTGAAGTACACTCTTCTATTGAATAAGGACATTACATTATATTTATTGAGATTTGGGGGATAATTTGATATATGGACACTTTGTATAATAAAATCTGCTTGTCTTATGAACTTTTTCTGGACTGTTTCAAGCATTTGTATATACTTCGTATATAAAGGAGACCAAACTATACTGCAATAGTTTAATTTTGCCCGTACAAAACTGTTGTAAAGAACATTAAGCGTTTTTTCTGACTTGAATTTTCTGGAATTCCGAATAACAAAGCCAAGATTCCTATAGGATGTTCGTGTTATACTTGTTATATGGTCACTGAAAGATAATTTTTGGTCAAAAATGATGCCTAAGTCTTTCACAGAATGTTCTGAAACTAAATCAATTGTGTTCATCTTATAGTCGAATTCAGTGGTTTGTTTTTTGTAGCTAAATGTTATTCTTTTACATTTTTGGACATTGAAAGGTAAATGATTTGTATGCGACCATTGAAAGACATTATCTAAATCTTCTTGCAACTTCATAGCATCTTCCAAGTTATCAATTTTTGAAAATAGTTTCATATCATCTGCAAAAAGCAAGACCCTACAGTGTTTAATGCAGCTGGTGATGTCAGTGATGAATATTAAAAACAACAGTGGACCTAGCGTACTCCCTTGTGGAACTCCAGAAGTTGCTATGTACTGCTGTGAATCATAATTATGTACAGTAACATATTGCTCCCTGTTTTTCAAGTATGATGCTATGAAATTACAAAAGGTATTACTAAGAGAAAATGATTGAAGTTTATGAATCAAAATGGCATGATCTACCTTATCAAACGCTTTCGAGAAATCAGTATAAATGGTATCAACCTGGCTACCACCTGCCAAAGAGTTTGTTGTATAATTTACAAAATCTAGTAAATTTCCTGTTGTAGATCTACCATTCCTGAACCCATATTGAAATTCTGATAGTTGATTTTTAACGTGAGAAGTTATTCTGTTACACATAATTATCTCAAAAACTAGAGCCACGTTTGATAGTATAGCTATTGGTCTGTAGTTGGCAATCTCTGAACGATTACCATGTTTGAAAATTGGTGTAATTTTAGCTAATTTGAGTTCATTTGGAAATTTTTGTGACCGAATAGCTAGATTGAAAATTGAGGTTAATGGGTTTATCAGGAATTCTTCACATCCTTTTAGGATATATCGTGGTATCATGTCTGGACCTATAGATTTTTTGTTTTTTAATTTCATTATTGCCTTTTCAGTTTCCTCGGGTGTTATCAGATCTAGATTGAGACAGATATTTGAATCAATTTTTTCTGTTACATGATTTTCAAAAACTGATTTGAAATGATGCGCAAAAGCTTCTGCAAGATGAACTCCTCCTGTGATAGGGTGATTATCCAAATACATTTCTGACGGGATTCCTGTATTGTTCTTATTTTTTGAATTTATGAAGTTCCAGAATTGGTTTGGGTGTTCTTGTAGGGTTTTTTCAAAATTCGTGATATAGTTATTATATGCTATTTTTGTTTCTCTTTTGATTTTAGCTCTCAAATATTTGAAGTCAGTAAGACATTGGGGAAGTTTTGTTTTTTTATACAGTTTGTGGTTTTTTTCTTTGGCTTTAATGTCAGAGATAATTTCATGTGTAAACCATGTAGGATATTTGCTTTTTCATATTTTGATTTAGGAATAGATAGATTGAAATTTTCATAAATTTTCTCAAAAAAAAATATCTAAGGCAGCATCAACATCTGTCTCATTCCCTAATTCATCCCATGTTTTATTTTGAAGTAGAAAATACAATTGAAGAAAATCTGCCTTCTTGAAGTTGAAAAATAGTGACTTATCAGAATCACACATTGGAATATCTTCTTTTAATATAATATTGACGTGTAATGCGGGGTGATGCGAATCTTCAGGAACAAAGGGGAAGTCATTATGAGTCACTATACATTCTGAAATAGAGATAATTACGTCTAGGTAGGTAGTTATTGTTTCTATTTGCTATTCTGTTATGCTGATTCCCTCCAATTATATTTGAAAAATTTATTAAACGATTTGAAAGATTTACATTATTTTCCGCTATATTCAGATCACCCAGTATTATTACATCATTGTTGAAACTCAATATAGTGTGTTCTAAGAAATTGAAAATACTATCATATGTGTGTTGATTTTGGGCAGGTGGTATGTAAATTACAAATATTATTTGCAATTTTTGGTTTGACCTTACTTTTACAGCTACAATATCAACAAATTGAAATGGTGATAATATTTCTAGTTTAGTAGCATTATATTCTTCATTTACTGCACAAAGAACTCCACCACCCCGAGTTTGGTTCAGTGCATTGTAGTTTCTGTCCTCTCTAAATTTCTCATAGTTCTCACCAAATAATTCACTATCAAAAATTCCATCATGTAGCCACGTCTCTGTCAGAGCAATCACGTCGTAGCTAGAGTTCAGCGTGTTGATATAAAAGTCTTCTACTTTGGTCCTTAAGCCTCTCACATTTTGATAATAGGCCTCTAGTGTTTTTTGATGTGTTATATTAGCCATTGTAGTTGATATATTGTTTGTGTCGCTCTAGTTTTTTTCTGTAGGCTGGGCATATGGGGTCTCTAGCAGAGTGCGTACGAGCCTTCAGTTGAAGCTTATTGCAGTTTGGGCAGTCAAGAGGAGTATCCTGAGGGCAGTTTTGGGGTTCATGGTCTCCACCACATTTGTAGCAAGTGTGTATTTGTTCAGTGCAGTATTTAGCCACATGGCCAAAGGCACAGCATTTGAAGCACATGGCGATACTGAAGTATTCCTGAGCATAAACTTTTGTCAAATCAAAGTAGAGGGTTTCGTTTCTCATTATTCATTTGAATATATCTGGAGGTACTTGGAATATCCAGTTTTCTCGTCTTGGGTTCCTGCATTTTCTTTTGGTTATATATTTAATATTTTCAGCTGTGTCATCACCGAATTTTTCACTTATTGCTGGATTCTGCTGCAGAAACTCTGTTATAAATTCTTCGGGCGAATATCCTACTTCAATACCTGCCAGCAATATCATTGGATCAGTATTTGACATTTCTTTGACTTGTATTTCTGTTTTTTTGCTAGTATTGATTTTATTTTGTCCTGTTGTTGTTATGTGTGACTTTCTAGGATGACAGCTCCACTTTTCAATGTTCTTACACTCTTCAAAGCTCCATCTATTTCACTGCAGTGTAGGTTTTGTTAAATTTTTTGTAAGGCTTTTTTTGGATCATTTTCTTCATGGATTCTTATCATAGTTTCATGCTTTTTACTAGTTGGAGGTGTTTTCCATTCTGACTTTTCATTCACAGGTTTATGTTGAATATTTTGAATATTATTACTTGCTAATATGTTGGCATAGGAGAGATAATTTTGGTTATGGGGGGCATGATCTTGTCGTTCTGCTATTTTAGCCTCAAGTGTTTGTTTTAGCATGATATTTTCTTCTTCCAATACTCCTATTTTATTGTTAAGCCTTGTAAGACAATTATAAATTTCAAAAATCGCCTTTTCAGTGATTTCCTGCCTTTTCTTCAAGTTTTCCATATCAGCTTCCTCTTCTCCAACCATGGCAGCGTTCATAGCATCAAGTTGTAAAATTATTGACTCCACAGAGGCTATTTCATCGCTGTCGAAATATTTTGTGCGAATGCTAAATTCTGATTTCTTTGAGACTTCCATTTGTTTCGTTTCATGACCTGCTCCAATAGCCTCTTGTTTATCTGGAATTGAGTTTGGTAGGTCTAAAACTTCATGAATTTTTTCATATTCACATTGCCTTTTCAATTCCTGACCATTTTCAGGAGATGACTCGGACCTTGGTCTTTTTTTGTTCTCACCTTCTTCTTGGCTCATAGTTAATTCTCCATCCATAAGTATGATTTCATTGTTTTTCCCAGGAGGAGTGCGAAATACAGACTTTTTAGGCTTAAATATTTCACTTGGATCAACATCCTCAGATACTTGTGTTGAGCCACCCTGTATTTGACTGGCTTCCAATATATCAGATGTACCTTGCGTGTTTTTGTTTCGATTTTATTTCATTGTCGTTGTTTTTACTAGTTCTCGGCCACACACAATGTTTTCGATCTCCTGAAAATCTTCTGATTTTTTCAGAATTATTCGTTTCGGAATCACTTTTCTTCTTTGTCCCAGTCTTGGGATAATGTTTTTCACTCATGATGCATTATTTAGAATAAAGAAGAATATACAGACAATAATAAACTAGCGATAACTAGCGAGCACTCAAAAACACGTCTACACGTCTACACGTCTACTTCTTTTCATTCACTTCTTGATGAGACGGATTTTGCAATTCTCTTATCTCTTCTTCGATTGGCAGTATTTGGGGATGGAACAATTTTAGAACAATTTTTTTTTAGGGATGCATACGAATTTTGAAGCGAAACGCAATCCATCGAATTCTGACCTTCGAAACAGTATTCAATTTTTTTTAATTTGACGAACCCAAGGTGCCCGAACTGGCAGTCACCAGTTCTTGGAAAAAACACGTCCAGGACTACATTATTGTTACGGCTCCATGGAAAGAAGACACCTTGTATCGAAAAGATTCCAGTCAGCTCTGATATTTGAGTTTTTCGTTTTGTCTTAGTGATAAATTTTTTTATGGATTAGGAGAATTGAATTTGAATGTGATTGATATATATGAAGAGAATTTATGGAAGAAGTGATTTTATTCAGGAAATACAGTCCATCGACAAAATTGTTGGTCTTCGAGCCGGATCGAAGCAGATATGGAGGAAGAAAATCAGAGATTGAGAAGAGCAAACGCTGGTGTCTACCGAAATTTGTCTACCAATTCCACTTGGCCAAGAGGATTCGGTACGAAATCAGTCACCGATATCGGTACCATTCCCGTGATTATTTCTGGCAGAGCTCCTTCTCTGACGACTACAGCCAATTTGAATATGAATATTGCTCAACCACCCGTTCTTTAGCTTCCTTGAATCTTCAGAAGAAGAGACTTGCCATTGAAACAGAAAAGGGGAGACAGGACTTGGGAACAAGACAGAAAAAAATTTATAATCGAAGGAAACTCCTCCATATGGAATATGAATCAAATGAAGCAGCTCTAGAAGTAAGCATCGACGAAGGTACTTCGACAGCTAGTGAAATTGAATTGAGAAGTAAAGAAGAAAGTGATCTTCATGATTTTATTGCTGAATGGGTTGATAAAGTAGATCCAAAACTCGATGTTCCTGATGAAATAACGGGAAATACCCAGGAAACTCAAACTGATGTGCAAATGTTGTGCCAGACTATATCAAATCTTCTCAAAATCGTTACGCCTTCAGGACAAGATGAAATACTAGCGAGACATATTGTAGATGAGGATTTTGCCGTCTTCGATGGAAATCCGGGAGACTGACCGCTATTCCATCAAAGATATTGCCAAATTTGCAAGATATGTGACTACAGCGAGGATGAAATATTGGTGAAACTCCAAAAGTGCCTACGAGGAGAAGCCAAATCCGCTGTCGCAGGAATGCTGTTAACATCAGAAAATGTAAATTTGATCATGGACACACTCAAGTTAAGATTTGGGCGACCTGAATTCATTATCGAAGTTATGATCTCAAGAATCAGAACTTTGGTACCCATAAGGGAAACAAACATCGAAAAACTTGCAGAACATCTTTGAAAGATTTCTCCGAGTGGATTGGTGACATAGCTCTGGCTGCATCCTACGTGAATTCACATCAAGTACCTGTTTTTTCAAATGATCTCAGAATAAATGACAGAAGAGGCCATCAAAAGAAAACACACTCAGTACTTAGCATGAATGATATCCCACGAAAGGCAACCTGGTCTCATTGCGGAGAAACTCATAGCGAAAATTCATGCTCGAAATTGAATTCCGATGATGTTGAAACCTGATGGAAGGTAGTAACAGACAAAAAGTTGTGCTTCTCTTGTTCAAAGAAGAAACATCACATGACAAAATGCAGGAAAAGACAAGAATGCAAGATTAATGGATGCAAGTACTTTCATCATGAGCTTCTCCATTAGAATTATCGACCGCTAGATGATTATTCAAGTTGAAATGACACGCAAGTACCAGCTCCTATGAAGGATTCTTCTGAGAATGATTCCCGTGAAACAATTTGGTCCAAGTTGTTTTCTAGGAACAATAGCAATTCTAGATGAAGCCTCCACCGTTACCTTGCTGGATAGTGACATCAGCAGAAAGCTAGGTCTTCAGAGAGAAAGAGATGCATTATGCCTCCAGTGGACGAATGAAATCGTGTCCAGGTTAGACGAATCCGGAAGAGTTAGTCTACAAATATCTGGAATTCGACCTGATTCGAAGAAATTCACCCTGAATAATATTCGCACCGTAGACAAGCTGTTGTTGCCAGCTCAGACAATACTAATGGAAGACTTGAATACCTATGGGTATCTGAAGAATTTACCAATAGACGATATCATGAATCAAAAACCAATGATACTCATCGGATAAAACGATATCAGTCTAACAGTTCCCAGACAACTGAGAATATTTTCGGATAGTTTACCTATCGCAACCAAGTGTAAATTGGGATGGTCTCTACACGGACCTGTCTCTGGCGATAGAAACGATGCTCTCACCCTTCACATTTGCAATACCCTAGAGAGCGACGAATCTATAAACAACTTGGTGAAGCAATATCTTTCTACTGAATCTTTTGGGGTAGCTATACCAGTATCAACTGCTGGAAAGGACAAAAAGCTCGCCTCAGATATCATGAGGAATACTGCCAAAAGGGTCGGTAATCGCTACGAGATTGGAATACTCTGGAGGGAAGCAGACATCAAACTACCTGGAAGTAGGAGTAATGTTCTCCATAGATCACAATCTCTCGAGAAGAAACTCAAGAGAGATGGAGTACTGGCCCAAGAATTCTGCAAAAAAATCGATAGCTACGCCGAGAAGAAAATAAATATGTTAGGAAATTGACGCCAGAAGTAGCAGATATCGAGACTCCCAGGACATGGTACATACCTCATTTTGCCGCCAAGAATCCTAACAAACCTGGCGAAGTGGGGCTAGTAATAGATTAGACTGCGAAATCCAGAGAAACAAGTTTGAATGATAACTTATTACCAGGACAACCACTTGTTGCGGTTATATGAAAGTTTAGAAAGCGAAAATATGGTTTCTGTAGTGACATACGCGAGATTTTCCACCAGGTCCAGATCCGTGAGGCTGACAGGTGATCTCAATGCTTTCTTTGAAGAGGAATCATCTACTCAAATCTACCTGAAGTATTTGAGATGCAGGTGATGACGTTCGGCGTCACCTGTTCGCCAGCATGTGCGCAATTCATTAAGAATCTGAGTGCCAAAGAAAATGCATTCTACAGAGGAAATATATGCTGCCATAGTCAAGAAGTTCTATGTGGATGACTACATAGATTCAACCGACAACGAGGAAGAAGCTGTGAACATGGTCCACGATGTACACAAAACCTTGAAGGAGGGACGTTTTCAAATTGTTAACTGGATATCAAATTCTACTCTTTTGAAATCTACGCTGTCTGAAGAAATGTTGCAGACCATAAGCCTTGATGATGAAATGAATTATTCACAGCGAGTTCTAGGAATATGGTGGAATTCTCGAACTGATGAAATTGAGATTAAGCTCAACGAAAATGTCCAGTCTCAGAATTGTATCACGAAAAGGCTAGTCCTACGTTTTATCATGTTCATTCGTGATCCTTTGGGTATCATAGCCTTCCTGACTATCAGAGGAAAGATTCTGTTGCAAGATATCTGAAGAGCTGGGATTGGCTGGGATTCAGATCTACAGTCTGGCAAATCTGGCTAGACGAACTTCAAACATTGAATATGTTGAAGATTCCGAGGTGTAATTCTAAAAGAATTCCATCAGAGAGAAAACTAGAATTGCATACTTTCTGTGATGCCAGCGAGAAAGCGTTCAGCCAAGACTAAAGTAGCCCCGCTCAAACCACTCTCGATTCCAAGACTGGCACTACATGCTGCTGTAGCCAGTCGTCATGCTGCTTCCATCTCAGAACACCTGGATATTCGGATAGATCAACATTTCTACTGGAGTGATTCAAAATGTGTTTTGCTATGGATTCGAAGTGATGCCGGAACATACAAGCAGTTTGTTGCCCATCGAATCGGCGAAATCCAAGAAACAACTGATGTTGGAGAATGGCGGTGGGTCCCGTTTAATTTAAATGTAGCTGATATGGCAATAAAGTGTACTATGAACTCAGAAGGCAAGGAATCAATAAAAATATGGTTGTATGGTCCGAAGTTCTTGAGAATGTCCAGTGGAAGTTGGCCTGCAGAAACAAATTCGAAAACTGATGATAGTTATGATGAGGATCTTGAGAAGAAAGCTGAATTTGTCGCTGTCATGATGAACTATGACGATTTTCTGCCAGACGTGAACAGATTTCCTAAGTGGCAATGTCTCATTAGGACTACAGGATGGATTATCAAATTTATCAGAATCTTGATGAAGAAAATTGGTAAAAATGACGAAGACATCGATATATCAGGACTATGAGTAGCTGAATCATCGTTGGCTGAAAGATTTTGTCTGAGAAGGTCACAGTCCCGGAGTTTTCCAGAAGAGATAGAAAAACTGAAGAATTTGGTACCCTTGAACAAGCAGAGCCGTTTGAAAGCATTATGACCAATGTTGAACACAGACGGTTTGTGGGTTCTTGGAGGAAGAACGAATCTAGCTGGTTGTACGGAGGGTTCCGCAAAAAATCCGTATATACTGAGTCCCAAGGATAGATATACCAAACTTTTACTCCTGGATTATCATGATAAGATGCATCACCAAGGAGTAGAATCCATTTTGACCGATATTCGTAAGAAATATTGGATCATTGATGGAAGAAATGCTAAGACGTTGAGCTTTTCCGAATGTATGAAGTGCAGGAGATCTAGAGCAAAGCCAGTAATTCAACAAATGGGTCAGCTACCAGCAGTTCGACTTACACCAGGAACTCGTGCATTCATCAACCTTGGAATGGACTATATTGGCCCAATCAAAGTAGCTGTAGGAAGAAGCGAGGAGAGATGAGGCGTATTATTTACATGCCTAGCAGTAAGGGCCATACACTTGGAAGTCGTTCACAGTCTAACTACTGATTCGGCAATCATGGCGATTCGAAGAATGATAGCACGAAGAGGGACACCAAATACCATTTACTGTGATAATGGGACCAACCTACGAGGTGCAGCAGAAGAACTTCGTAAAGCGATAGCTGAAGTGGACAATTTGGCAATAAATAATGAAATGTCGTCAAAATGCATTTCGTTCAAGTTCAATTCTCCAGCTGCTTCACATATGGGTGGTTCTTGGGAGCGACTCATTGAACTATTGGAAGCATATTGTATCAACAGTCCTTGCGAGATGAGATTCTTCTAACACTCTTTGCAGAAGCCGAGAATATTTTCAATTCTGTTCCATTGACACATGTATCTGGTGATCCTTCCGATCCGGAACCGTTGACTCCAAATCACTTCCTAATTGGTAGTGGAAATTATATTACCTCACCCTGTGATGAAGGTGGCAGTCCTCGAAAAGCATGGAGAAAATCACAAACGTTGATATATGTCTTTTGGAAGAGGTGGGTAAAAGAGTATCATCTCAAAGTATTCAAAAGATCAAAATGGATTGACGATCAAGAATCCTTGAAAATAGGCGACGTTGTAATCATTGTAGAAGACAACGCCTCAAGAAATCCATGGAAAATGGTAAGAGTAGACGCCGTCTTTCCAGGACCAGATGGTCGGATACGAGTTGCTCAAGTAAAGACGAAAACATCTAGCTATCGGCGACCAGTGAGCAGATTGTGCCGATTACGAGTTGAAGGTGAAAAAAATTAGTTTTTTCACCAAGGGGGAGAATGTTACGGCTCCATGAAAAGAAGACACCTTTTATCGAGAAGATTCCAGTCAGTTCTGATATTTTGACTTTTTTGTTTTGTCTTAGTGATAAGAATTTTCATGGATTAGAAGAATTGAATTCGTATGTGATTGATATATGAAGACGATTTCTGGAAGAAGTGATTTTAATCGGAAAATACAGTCCATCGACAACAATTATATAATTTTCATAGCTACAATGCGATCACCCGGTGACTTGAACGCTATCTCTTGGACTATTAGAGTTGTACTCCTGCTACGATCAGAAATTCATGTCTGAATACAATAAATTGATCATAAATATCTCAAATGGGTGACGAGCCGCGCATGGTTTGGCAGGTTATTGAATTGCATCATTGAGAGTTATCAAAATGGCATATTAGGTTGATTGATCACGTGTTGATTTGACTCTTGTGTTGGTGAAGAAATTCCTACAATTCATCGTGAAGAAATTTCACGTTATACAAGAGATACTGTGAGAGGAGTGATTCTGGTTATTCCAAGTGATAATTCAAGTGCCAATGCAATTAAAAGATATCACGTTACTGATCGAATATCGATGATAACATATGTACCCAAGTACATCGCGATCAATATAAAGCAAATTGATGATGAGAGTGATGAATCAGTAGTCCCAAACTCTCGGCAGTAAACAATGAATATTCCATTCAAATCACTTGTGAGTGTTTTGGTGTTTGTGATTGGAATATCAGCTTCAACTAGCTATGAATCCATTGAATTCCTGAAGGCTAAAAATCTGACCGCAGACTATTGTTATGCAAGAAGTTATGCTGAAGTTTCATTCGTCGTCCAGAACTGTACGCATATTGTACTTGCGAACTTCGAAGTACCTGCCCGTGAAACGCTAGAGCTAAAGTTACGAAAGAATTCTGTGGTTTTAATCGAAGGAACTATCAAATTTGCAGTGGCACACTGGGATGGTCCACTCATGCATATCACTGGAGAGAATATTCAAGTTATTGGTGGAACTAGTAAGTAATAGACCTTCTTTGATGATCTGATGATTTGATGATTTCGATATGATTTGAAATCGAAAAATTACGAAAGTCTCATGTCTTGCGAGTCTGTGTTCATTCTTGGAGGAATTTGACCCATGTCTTTCATTATTTGTAATTTTCAAGTATCTTTTCTGACTACCATGTATAAAACATCCATTCCTGAATTTCCGAACATGTCATGACTTCTCAAATTCGAAATTGGAATCATCATTTCCAGATTCAAAATCAATATTCTTATTGAAATCGATGAATTCAGTCGAATTGAGATTACGATGGAATTCGGATTGCGATAACATATTATATTCGGAATGAAAATGAACAGATTCGAATACATGATGAACAATCAGAATTGTTGATTATTCTAAGAGTTTTCTCATCTATGGAGATGGAATGTGTTTTGATTAATTTCAATACATTCATGAGAAATAGAAGAAGGAGTCGCATATCAGAAAAATCATTCAAATAGTATCAAGGAGGGATTTCTTTCATCTCCTGGATTGCACGAAAGGAAAATTCTATAATGTTCGTGGAATAGCGTGTGTACCTAGGAGGAATAGGGAAAAGAGGAAGGTGTGAATAGAGCAAATAGTTGCTCCCGATAGATCGTTGATATGAAGCAGGAACAATGCTGGTTCCAAAACTAATCCTTGTAGAACGCTGGAATCGATGACCATGGTAGCAGACGATACTCCGTCCACCACCACATGATGCGATCTGCCTGAAAGAAAACTCGATTAAAGATGGCATAGCTGAATTTGAAAGCCGTATGATGGTAATTTTTGGAGCAGTCCTCGCTTGCCAAACATGATCAAATGCCTTCAATATATCTGACGCTACAGCTAGAGATTCCCCACGTTTTCCTTATGAAGCTTGCCCTATATGACTGATGTAGGCAAGTAAATTGCCATGTTCGGTATAAAAGGCTGGCCTCTCAAGGTGTTGATATTCAATTCCAATTATTTACACCCGATGATTCCTGGGATAATCGTCATGCACAATGAATGCAGCTGAAACCGCTAGCTAGGATCGCCAGAATGAGACTTATTTTATTCCTGAATCAAGAATAGACTCCCATATATCAGTTTTGATGAGGAAAGCATTCATGGAACATTGGGGGTTGGGAACTCTCTAGATGAATGCAAAAAGTAAAATCCTCTGAATGGTCACTTTACATATACAAGGTGATTATGAAACATATCTATATCCAATGAGAATCATAGCCAGAGTTGACGTTTGAGAATTGTTTTCTCCCAATCCATTACGAGACAAATCAAACCATCTCAATTAGCTTATAAAGATATTGTGGATTGAAATGAACCAATCAAATTGAAATATAGTTTCTCTATATGAAATGATTACCCATTATTATAGTTCGTATAGCCTATTTCTTGCATTAAGAGGTGTTTCTGGAGGACTTTTATGAGATCGCACTTCTGGTCCGGAAATTCGAATGGAGAGGAATTTTATTCCCAGATGATTCTACCTGAGGAGAAATCATTATCGATTATTCTTCATCAGGAAGGGAGGTTGGCGTGGATAGAATCCTCAACCAGCTACTGAAACACGGGTAAGTATACTCATTTCACAGTGCCTATGATTGATGTGATGGTTTCGCACCAGGAGATGGTGTTCGCCCTTTTCCACGTGTTGGCGTCCTTTTAGTCACCTTCTAGGACAGGCAGGACCATGAGATTATTCTAATCTGACCGTCAAACGAAATAATAGTAACTTGGTCTGATGTTATTCGAACGGCACAAGTGTTCGGTTTCACAGTAAAATATCTTCAACATTTTATTCCTCTTCGAGCATTTGGGCCATTTTGTAGTTGAAATAATGGCCCTTCCATTTCACAACGAGATGATGATTCCGGTTTCGTGGTGCTTGTTTCCTTCTGCTTCAGCGTAAACATGCCGATTTCAATTCTGTTGGGTCAGGCTTCGCTCAGATGGCGGCCTAAGGACTCTTGTCTGGTGATATCCCAACACTGATGAGTGTCATAATATGTAACAACTCGGCATTTTGGAACAACACCTACTCACTATATTGTAGTAATTCATTGAACGGTTGGAGGAATGAATGTGGAACATCAAAACACCTACACACTATATTGTAGTAATTCATTGAAGGGTTGAAGAAATGAAGCTGGAACATCAACACCTACACCTATATCGTGGGTATTGAGAGTATTTTTCTGTCATAACTGATATTCAAGGTACACAAATATATTATTGTGATGTCAGTACCACGGGCATTGTCTCGTCGTGTATCACATAAGAGCATTTATTTAAGAATGCATTTTTATGCTTCTGTGAAACACTGTATCTAATTTATTCATCTGGTGGGTGATGCCACACTCACCAGTTCTGTGACCTCATTAGAACACCGTCAAAAATTTGGGGACCTCTTACTTTTCTATATATACTTCTACGAGAAATGTTCCTCAGGAATCTCTGCTATAATGCCATCACTAGCAATACCAGTCAGCCGAACTCGACAGGCCCAGTCAGCACATTTCTTCCTCGTTAACCTTGGAAAATGTCGAACAGCGCTCCACCAAAAATCGTTCGACGATAGAACGGCGAAGGTTTGAAATTCTTGGCAATGAAAATATTTTCAAGAACTTATAACCTTAAAAATTTCGAATAAAATTTCAACACCTACCTCCTCTTCCTTTCCTTCCTAGGTTAGCACGATGTTTCACCAACAATTTGAGGATTTCTCTTTGTGCACAAGAAATAAAAAAACAATGAATCAAACCAAGACTTTTTGTATCTTACTTTCCCAACCTGAAGGATTGAGATAACTGTAGAAGGTTGGATAAACCTTCCTTCTCGGAAAAAAGGCACATTAGAATGCGGTGTACTGGATTAACTCGAAAGGGTTGATAGCGAATACAAACATTTTATTACCAACTAAGAAAACAAATTCAAGAGCTGTGAATTATTGAGGTCAATAGTTGATCTTTGAGTGAAATGTAGGAGTAATTGCAATTGTTGAGGTCTAATGATATCAAATTATCGAATTTTTCTCATTTTCTGCGTGCAGAGTTTCGGAATAACCATCGAAACGATGGTTTTCTTTCCATATAATATGGTTAGCGTATGTTCAACTTATGTTCATGAATGCGGTGATTGAATGTTCGACACGTCTGACCGCAATATAACAATTAATAATAATAATAATTAAGTTTGTTTGACAAATATATACAAAAATAGTATTGTTTCACAAATTTCACATTACATAATATAGAACATTAACAGTAAATAAAGAATATATGAAGGCAAAAAGATTTTTATAAATATATAATATATAAATCGAATAAACAAGGAAATACCTCGTAAAAAGCATGGCTTGCGCACGAGATTCCTGTATTGCTTCTTCTTTTTCATTGAGCATGTGACAGAGAGAAGATGAGTATTATTATCTACTAACGAATGACAATACGGTTAATATATTATAAGTGAAATTTAAAATAAAATATATAATATATAAACAAGTCATGGAAACCATCCATTCTCAAAGTGGCCCAGTATTTTTCAAAGGGAGAAAAACAATAACTCAAAGTCGGTCGACCACAAAATTTAATAAAAGGAGTGACTATAGTTTCGGCTCAACGGCCATCTTCAGACACAATGTAAAAAAGTACCTAGAAAATTATAAGTTGTTAAATCTAGACAATATGGTGGCTGCGAAAGAACATACCTTATGGAGAAAAGTATACTAATTAAAAACTAACTAGTAGGTCAGCATCGAATCATCCGTACAAATTGGAACTAGTAAAATTTAAAACGGCTGAAAAGCCAAAAGAACATTACGATGAGTAAGTTCAACATTAGAAAATTCAAAAAATTTTGATTAATTAATCAACTCAACGGAGCTTCATCAGCGGTCAGGCCATCAACAGGAAAGACAACGCCGTAGGTGAAATGGAAGTGATGATTTGACATTGACATCACAAAATGACAATTTCAAAGTCAGCGTAAAACATTTTGAATGACAGTCAAACATATGAAAGATGAGTTTCAAATTCAAAAATTGACATTATTGACGCTAAAAAGTTATACAATTCAATAAAACTATGTAAACAAAAACAATAATTGATGATAGAGATGTACGCGAAAAGGGTCAAGAAGAGCAAACAAAATTCAAGAAAGAAGAATAAATGATTATGATAAAGAAAGAGAAGCAGAAGAACCAACATTCTGTCAAGATAAAGGATACAGGACAGGCTCTAGCGCAGGGAAACCAATGTGTGATTATTATGAAAATTGTAATGTACGGAAAATATGATTACGGTCAAAGTTGGTCTGATCATTTAAACAAATACTCTGAGGATTATTGATGCATTTTTGAATTTCTAAAATCTCAAGAAGGTTAAGCCGTGGACCTTTGTTGCAAACATGTATAATATCCATATTAGAATTAACATTAAAACTATGGTTTGAATCAATGATATGGTTGGCAAAAGAAGATGTGGTATTGTGATTTTCTGAGTTCAGAAATTTGTGGATAAGTCTATTGTGTTCAGAGGCCCGAATCTCAAAACTCCTACCTGTCTGACCAATGTAGGATGCATTACAATCATTGCAATTGAGTCTGTAAACACCAGATTTCTTTACAAGCGGAATTTTATCTTTGGAGTTAAATAATAAATGTTTCAAATTAGAAGAAGTTTTGTAAGAAATAGAAATGTTAAGAGATTTGAACATTTTTGCTAGTTGAATGGAATAATGGCCAAAATAGTGTAATGATTTATATAAGGGAGGGTCAGCGACTTGACTGGATGTGACATTAAATGTTAATCTATGTTTAGTGTAAAATTTGAAATATAACTTCATGATCAAATCAAGTGGGAAATGGTTATTCAAGGCAATCTGTTTGATAATATTGATCTCTTTATCAAAGGCTGTTTGAGAAAGAGGTAATGAAAAAGTTCTGTGGAAAAAACAATTGAAGGATGCCATTTTTTGTGA